ACACACACACACACACGCACACACACACACACACACACACACGCACACACAAAGTTCATATTTTAAAATATCTTTAAAAAAGATTCATTTCCATCTCTATTCTTTTACTCACACCAAGGAACATTCATATATTTTCAAAAGTGTAAAAATATGAAAATTAGAATTAAAATCAAAACTAAGATATGAAACTGAAGAGTTCACAAGAATGATAGATCATACGATCATTAAAACGGGCTGCGCAATCTTAAGATTGCCGCGCAATTATACGATCGTTAAAACGCGCAGCGAAAGATTGCACCGATCGGTAAATTGCACGGAACAAAAATAAATACAAAATCTACACACCACACTACCTTACACATTGACGATACCACCACTTTTAACATGCCAAAGAGAGTCAAGGAATCGTTAATGTCTCGATCACGACTACGGCTTGCACGTTTCAAGAGGCATATTGAAAAGGCCAAAGGTTTTCACAAAATAGATGGGAACGGGTAACATTTGTTCTTCAGCCCAAAAAATATGTCTAATTTTTTTGCAAGAAAAGGGGGGAGGGGGGGGGGATTGTCTTTTAAAAAACAACAACACAGTATTACTGACATGCCTCATTGTTCGAACTCTTTCATTGTTACGGTATGGGTTGAGGAAATGAAAAAAATATATATAATATTTGAGAACTATCGAATGTCGGATGTATACCAACAAAGAAAATCATGTAATATACATACTATTATATATTAAACAGTCAAACCTGCCATGGTGGCCACCTGCTTTATACGGCTACTTGTACAATCAGCCACTTTCCATCTTCCTCATTGCGGTTTTTTTTCCTCAGATATAACAGCAGTGCGTAAAACGACAACCTGTCCAACGCAGCCGCTGCATCTATATATTTTCAATCTTATTTTACTTTTACTTTTGTCTTCCGTTTGTACTGGTGGGTGTCTCGGGGAGACACAGGCGTCTGTCTGTAGCATAGCGAGTGACCTGTAGGAGGGGCATCCCGTGATCTCTGAGGCCGGTAGTGGATATTAATATATAGCTCAAAAACACATAATGTATCTACCACAACCAACCAAAAAAAAACAACCCCCCCCCCCCCACACTTTTGACGTTGGCCATGCAAATCTCTCATCACTCGATACTTTGTCAAAAATCGTATACCAGCTCTTGATGTTGTGGACGAGCCGTCATAATCTATTCACCTGTCCTTATGGTTAGTCCCTTCATGAATGAACCGATCATGATCAAGATCCATTTGCCAAGTTCATACAAAATCTACACTTTTATCCACCACTGTAATAGAGACTCGCTTAAAATTACCCCCCCCCCCTCTCAAATCTTTAAATAATATACTTTAAATCTGTCTGCGTCTGTGCCGAATGACATCACGGCGACCGAAACGTGGCCCCTTCATTGAATACGGAGACGCCATATGTGTGTTTGAGTTCAAGTAGCTTCCACATGAAGGTCTAAAGCTCACTTTTACAAAAAAAACTCTCAGTCTAAATCTTAAAAGTAATTATGTGTCCAGGGTACGCTTGTGTGTCGTGGAAAATGACGTACATATCCGGTCCAAGAGCAGAGTCATATGGTATTGTAGTGCCAGGTCTGAGGGGCAGATAGCGTAGGTTGGTCGTGCCTGCTGTCGACTCGCCAACAAGCACCTGTGCCAGAAACATACGTTTGTTGCGGTCCGAGTCTGGTTGGGAGAAGGCGGCCGAATAGCTGGGCAGTTTGGAGAAGTAAACACCCTCTCCGAACAGTGTGGCTGGAAGGAATCAGTTACAGACACTGTAAAGTGTGCGCATATGTTTGGGAGTCTGCAGTTATGGAAACGTGAACATAAACAAGAATTGGGGGAAAGGAGGAGAAAGAAAACAGTCTATTCTGCGGATTTTCCCAAGGATAAATGTCTCTTGATTAAAAGTATCATTTGACAATGATACGGGGATAGAGCTTGACATTCTGCAAGCACAATGTATATTATTAAGCAGTATGTCTTAAGACCTCAAAAGAAAAAAACGATCACTTACATTTTCTGGATAACTGAAAATAAAGTAAAATAACATGATCAATCACAGGTGTACAGCTGCGAAAGCGAAAAGCTAAATTGTTGGGTTCAAGACTCCAGCAAAAGAATCTGCTTGCTGGCGGCTGAGAGTCAGCATATTAAGAAATCATGAGGGATTTTTGATTTTATTGAATGGCCACCTGATTGCATGTAAAGATGTGGACGACTTATGAAGGTGGTGCTGTGAGTGATGAATATCGGAAGCATTTTCACCAAGATATTGCAGCTTTGGAAAGCGATATCAGGGCAAACGGAGTAGGAGTGATAATATTGTTAGTAGATTACTGTTGGCCGGTTACAAGAAATGTACCAGAACTTAAATAAATACAAGCGGTACGTCAAGAAACAATGAATCAAATAAGTATGAATTAACCACTATTTTTAGTCCTCCAAATTATTATTTGCAAAATATGAAAACCTGAATATTTGAAAACTAAACCTAAACATCAAATTTCACCATCATTTTTGTGTTCAGCGTCCCAAAATCCATACAAAATGGGATGATTGATCCTCAAAGAAGAGACTATTTGTAAATTTGTAGACCAGTGTAAAGTGTAGTTTGTAGAGCATACCATGTTTCCCTGAGTAACTACGGTTGAAACCGTGCCGACAAATTGAGGCGGAGTTTGGGGCGTCTGTACCATGGAAAAGTCGCTGCTCGTTGCTGTTACCGCCTGTGTTCCGTCGCTCCATCTCCCGCTTCTTGATCATGTACTGCCTGTAGAGAGTCTTGTTTTGCACTCTTTCGATCTGACGGGCGTTTAAAAATATTATAACGTGAGTCTGTGGTTCAAGTAAACGGCACAACTGGTAGTGGTAGGTCCTACTGCTGTGCTTGTACTCTGTCTGTCTTGCTTTATGTCTCACTAGATTACATTATTTATTAGAATTTTCTGCGATTAGACATTCACTGTTCCCCAAGTCCGTTTATTCCCGATATAGAAAGAACAAAGTCATTCAATGTATAATGTAAGAACCAGGCCGTGGGGTATAACGTGCGGGTGTGGATGACGAAGTTGGGGGGGGGGGGTGTGGACTGGGAATGAAGAGTGTGTAGGGAAGCGGTTGGAGCTTTGCCACGAACCAAACATTGAACTAAGTATTTTATACTGTAACGACATCTTTTGAAAATTATAATTGGATAGGTTTAACGCCCGTTACAAAACCGTTAACTTATCTAAGAAGCGGGACCTCCGAAAATAACGCCCATATCCGAAAAACCTTGTCAAATGGGAAAATGCATGTACAGTGCCTGTCCCAAGGACACAACACCGGACCGAACTAAGCATCAAAGCCGCGAACCCGCAGTCTCACGATTGCACGTCCGGCAGTCTAACCACTAGAGGTTCCTTTACTCCTTTGCTCCACCTAAAAAAATGTGTTTTTATGTCTTGGGGTCTGTTAAACTGAAATTATTAAAACGTACAAACACCAGTAAACAATTTGCCATTATCTTTTTCTGGACTTGCAGTTTAGTTTTATTAATACCTTTCCGTTTTTTGTTAAGATCTTTGAAAAACCACTCCAACAGTAATTGTCTCATTAACGCGATTGAAATACAGGAAACCGATTCCTAAAAGCAAAATTGTCCAAAGAGACAAAATTCTTGAAATCTATAAAATAAAACGACGATAAATCATTATTACGATTCAATTACGTTCTACACTGACTATTACAACGTTTACCAATACTTCTAGCTTAAAACAAAAAGACAAGCAAGAAAAGAAAGTTTGTGCATAATTCAAACTACAAAAAGCAAACATATTATTATTCAATCGAGCTTTCTCAAAATGGTGAAGATGGCACGTCAGACAATATTTTATATTGGTCAAAACGTGAACTCACGTTCAAGATTTTGAATTTGGCTCCCTTGTGTCTGAAGAAACAGGCAACATTCTTGTACTCTGAAGAATTGCTGCTAAGTTGGATCACTTTCAGTTCCTCGTTCTCTTTCATCCCGGCCCAGGTGCTAGGTAGAGCGAGGGCGTCTGTACACATAAGAATAAAACTAATTAGTGGTTTCTCTCTCTTTCATTTTTTTTCTCATTTTATTACTCGGTCTATCTTGTTTCATCTCTCCCAGTCTGTTCCTCTCTCTCCCTTTCTCTCTCTCTCTCTCTCTCT